ATTAAAAAATCTCAAAGTATTTCTAAACTCTGAATATTATCCTTATAGTGATTTAAATCTCGACTTTGAAAATGGAGATGTCTCTAAAGCTTATGAGATGTTTATGAGGTTTAGAGAGACTTACTATAATACTATCCCAGATCCTATGATTAGTAGGGCTGAGTTTATGAAGAAATATCCACTAATTGTAATAGACTGTTCTAGACAGAACGAAACAGTGAAGGAAGGAATTGATGATATTAAATTAGAGATTGCAACTGCAGAAAATGTGCCAGCAAATACATCTGCATATTGTTTGATAATACATGATAAAGTGTTTGAGTACAATCCTTTGTCAAATGAGATAAATAAAATGTAAATAAAAGATGAAAAACATTCAACAAGAATTAGTTGACTCTGCAAATCAAATACGAGAGAAATATAGAGCTTTAAAACGTGGCAAGTTTCTAGAGGCTGAAGAGAGGTTCCAAACATTCCAACCTTTAATAGAGCCATTACAAGAATTAAAGAAAATCACATCAGAGAGTCCTCGAATGGAGATACTCCCAATGACTCCATCTAGAATATCAATGATACCAAGATTACAACCATTACAACCATTACAACCATCCACCCCACAGAAATTAGATTTTGGTCTTTTAGCATCAGACTATTTAGGAAATTACCTCAGTAAAAGTAGTATGACAGACACTACATATGGTATTAGACGAGAAGCAAATACATTTTTTATTGGAAATAAGGAAGTTGATATTGCCAATGATGATGTTACAGTTGCAAATAAAACCTACAAGGGGACAAAAGGCTTGTGGCAGTTGTTAACTTTAAAAGAACCTGAGGATTATACTCAGGCTGATTTGCAAAATTATAAAGACATTTTGGAAGCTACAAATGGGCATTTAAAGAGTTACAAAGATGGTGCACCAATTTCAAGTAATAGACATACTAAATATCTTAATATAATTAAACCTCTTTTTAAATCTGTTGGTGAAGGTTTGAGACAAGTGACTGGTAATAAAATAGACTATATTTATTGGGATGATCCTAATGAGCTTGTAGATAGGTTAAGACTTCTTTGGCTAAGTCGCCAAGCCGGTAACTCAGGAGTGGATAATGAAATAGATTCCATTATTGAGGAATTGAGAGAAAGTGGTATTATTTATTAAATAAAAATATGTTTATAGATAAATTTTATCGTTTATATAATCCATATAATAAGCCTGCAGAACCTAGGGCTAGTAATGAACCTACTTTAAATTTACAAGACGATAGTTGGAATGGTTTAAACTGTAAAATTGGTAATGTTAAAGATGGGGAGTTTGTAGATGATGTATCAACTTTGGGACAGACATTAACTAGAAAAGGTGATGTCTTCTTACAAGGTAAAACTAAATATGAGTTTTTAGAATCTAAGAATAAAAATTGGAATGCTAAAAAACAGAAAATTACTAATGTGGAAAAGGGTGAAAGTTTAGATGATGTGCCCACTTTACAACAGACTTTAATACGAACAGATGGTGGTACATTTGTACAAGACAATAAAAATTATGAATTTTTAGAATCAGAGAATGGTGTTTGGAATGCTAAGAAACGGAAAATTACTAATGTAGAAAAGGGTGAAAGTTTAAATGATGTGCCCACTTTACAACAGACTTTAATACGAAAAGAAGATGGTAAATTTATACAAGATGATAATAATTATGAATTTTTAGAATCAGAGAATGGTGTTTGGAATGCTAAGAAACAGAAACTTAGCAATTTGATGGAAGGTACAGATAGTAAAGATGCTGTGAATGTTTCACAAGTTCCAAAAATGGAAGCAGGCTATTGGAGTTTTTATAATAAAAGGTTAGTACGTGTTAAACCTGCCATTGATGAAACTGACTGTGTTATAAAAGAACAGACTATAACTTTTGATAAAAAAGAAAAATGTTGGGATGCCAAAAAACAATTTATAAGAAATCTACCAGAGGGGGAACATTCGGATGATATTTGTCTAATGTCACAAGCTATGCATTACGATGGATCAAAATTTGTATATGGAGAAAAAATTTTTAATTTGATGGAATATAATCCTGATTTATTAGTTGCTGACCCCACATCTTTGAGTGGATTTAAGTATATAGATAATAGACCATATATACCAGAAAACTATGTTTTTAAAAGAATGGAAGATAATCTATTGATTGGGGCTAATGGTGATGTATTTAGAGTTACAGGAAAGGATGATGTTATAAAAAATGAATGAAATTGCATACGAACTTCATAAGCCTGCAAGAAAGAATTTCATTAGAAGGTCTTTTAAAGTATTGGGTATAAACGAAACTGTACAAATAGATTTAATTGATATGCAAAACTATGCTAGAGAAAATTCTGGCAATAAATATATTTTAACTTTAATAGATACATTTTCTAAAAAAGCTTATGCTGCTCCACTAAAGAATAAGACAGGGTTGGTGGTTACAGAAGCCATTAAAACCATTCTACCAAAGGGGGTTAAAAACATTCAATCCGACAATGGAAAAGAATTTTTTAATCAATATTTTAGCAAACTAATGAAAAAATTAAATATTAATCACTATCACACATTTTCTACAACTAAGGCTGCAATTGTGGAGAGGTTTCAGAGAACTTTAAAGAATTGGTTATATAGAGAATTTAGTGCTCAGGGGAGTTATAAATGGTTGGATTTACTTCCAAAGTTAATTCGAAAATATAATAATAAAGTGCATAGATCTATAGGAATGAAGCCTAACCAAGTGAATATTAAGAACAGTAAATATGTGCATGAGAGGTTGCATGAAAGGACTTCTAAAGTATTGCAAGTTAAAAAGCCAAGATATAAGGTAGGTGATAGCGTAAGGATTTCCAAGTATAAACATGTTTTTAGTAAAGGTTATACTCCGAATTGGACAGGGGAACTATTTACAACAGCAGAAGTAAAGAATACAAAGCCTGTGACTTATATCTTGAAAGATGAAAATGGTAATATAATCAGAGGAGGCTTCTATACAGAGGAGTTGTTAAAGACCAAGTATAAAGACATGTATTTAGTAGAAAAGGTAATTAGGAGGAAGGGTGATTTATTGTATGTCAAATGGCTTGGGTTCCCAAGTAGCCAGAACTCATGGATTTCCACAAAGGATGTCCAAGGGAGCATGCCCGCGACCAGGAGCGCGCCCACGCCATGAGCCGAGTGATTTTGAAATAGAAATATAATATATCAACTGGAAAGGGGAATGGTAGATGTACTAGCAATTGTGCATGGGGCAGAGGGGAGTGGTGAGGGGGTGAGGGGGGGGGAGTTGGCCCAAAAATGACGACGCACCTCAAAAAACGGCTGCGACAAACTATACTACTATACATATACACATACATGGGTCAATAAATGAAATAATTAGTTTATTTTTTATTTTTGCTTAATATCGAATATATTTATGGGGAATAACTAAGAAATAAGGTTTGACAATTTTATAGGGATTTGCAGGCAAAGATCAGGATTTTAGATTTGGTGGCCAAAAATAATCCCCATAAGAATAACATGGGAAAAACGTGTCTAAAGTGAGGTAAAACCGGCAGTTCTCCACTACTTTTGACGTATATTACATTCACATTGAGAAGAATTATGAAATCAAGAAATTGTTTAACTATAATGCCTCTTACTTTAAGTATGGTAAATATTTGCTGGAATATTGGTACATGACAGCGTGCACAATTTCAACTTTCAAACAGTCTAAATAGGACAGATCACGTCAATATATTTTTTTCATTTTTTCTGGAAAATTTGCAAAGAAAAATTTGAAAGATTGACGCTTTTTTGTAGTTAATTTATGTTAGTAAAAAAAATATCGTTATAAGGGGGTTTAACATTTCAAAACTAAGAGCTAAGCTTTTTCCCACTTTTTATACTTATTTGTAGTTTTGGAATTCCAACTATAACTTTTGTTTACGGTACGGCACCATAAAACATGGAGCCTTGAATTTTCACTAATCGTTCTTATCGAAGAGGAGTATCTCAGGAGCATTACCAGAATACCAAGTCATAGTGTGGACCCGTCATAAAAAACTAAAATATTTCGATTGCGTTAAAATAAAACTAACCAACTTGACAGAGTGTATATGTACATAATATATTATAAAATATACATAGGCTAATAACGCTAAGTTCTACAATCAGCACCCTTTTTGAATAAAGATTAAATTGTGTAGAACAACTTAGCAATCAGAATACATTTTATTGACAAGAGTTAACCATTGAAGCGGTGAGGAAATCGTAATTCACTATCGAAACCATGAACCTGAAGATACATTTGAGCCTAAACTTGATTATTTAAGGGTGATTTTTCGAATTGATTTGTTGATTTTATTTGTAATATTGCAAATATACACTAATAAACTCTTATAAAGATTTGATTACATTTGATTATATATGTCCAACCCGTATACATGCAAGCAGCTATTGCCTAAGGGGAACGGCACAATTTTAGCTATACTAAAATCTATTAATTTAAATGTTAGATCAATTAAATTTGAAATTTTTTTCTCCATTCCCCGTATCAGTTTACCCTTACCAAATAAATTTTATATAGTTTTAAATGCAAAGTCCTTGTTTTTATTAAATTTATCACCATTCAGTGTGAACACATTCATACAAAGATTACCTGCAAAGAAATTCTGAGTTTGTCCGATTACTGACCCAGGCAAACCCACAGTCACAAGACGAGCGCCTCTTACCTAGCCTAAACCGATGTATTTAGTTTATAGTAGCCTAAGAAGTGTAAATGTATCAAACTATCAAGATAATCATTACGCAGCCAGTGAGAAGAGTGAACACTTATCACGCAAAGGCAGAAGCCTATGTGATAATGTTTTCTATTTATATATTGTAATGCTACTTTATTACTTGTAGTAATCATGATTGATTTTATTCATTTTGGAGAATCCGTTACATTTACATTTATTTTTAAAATAAGAATACTTTTCAGTAATCAGTCAAAACTCACTTGCGAGGAGGAAAGTACTGTTGCCATGCGGGGAACACTCCCGTACCATCCACGACCACCACCGCTACCAAGAGGAGGATGTAGGAGGTGCGCGTCCAGGCCGTCATCTAGGGAGTGGTGAGTGGAGAGTGGTAGAGTGGCGCTCCAGGAGCGGGGGCTCGGGTCTATGACCACGGCCTTCCCCAGCTCCTTCAGACCTTCACTCCTCATTCATACTTCGTCTAACGGGTGAGCGTCCATACGATGCACCTCATCAAGCCTAGAAGAATGAGAGTGAAATCTATAACGTAACAATGCCATTTTTGTTCAAAATACAAACAAAATAGTTGCATTTCTTCCTTAGCGACATCTGTATCTCCGTATCTCGATCGAAACTTGAGATGTACATATTAATAATAGAGGCAAAGCCGACTAGATAGATCGATGCAGTTAAAACTATGGTTTAATTTTGAAGGATAGTAATATTTAAGTTTTATATAAACATAAGATGAGGTTTGGGACGAATAATATTGAATTGTTAATATTTAATACTTGAAGATTTTTGGTAGAAAGAATAAAACAAAAACTCCCTTTAAACATTATGGATGTCCATCATGAGCTGTTGATTGTTCTCTGCAGTACTATCCTATCCTAATAATTAGTGCAATTCGTTTAAAAGGCAAAAATGTGGTTCGGATTCCACCATAAACTGTAGGTCCCATAGTTGCCAATGACTGTATGGGATATTAATTAACAGCTGTGTCTAAGGAACATGTCAACATGTCGCCATAAGTCAATAACAAGACTACAAGATCGCGCCACTCACCATATACTCATCTCCATAGGCTGGTTTTCTACTCCAGATTGTTTGGACGACTGGGAGTGTGTTTTCATTATCCTGACTGTCCGGATGATTGTAAGATGTTGGCTAGTTTGCATCGTTCGGATGACCACAAATGTGCTGACTTTGTACGGATAACCGGGAGTATATGTTTATATTGTCCGGATAACCGGGAGTGTTGCTATCTTTTTCAGGAAGACCGAGAGTTGGTGACTTTGTCAGTAAACCGGAATTATTTGTTATTTTCTCCGGATGGCCGGGAGTGTTTCTGTCATTTCCAGAAAGACCAAGAGTTGGTGACATTGGCCGGATGATCGGGAGTGCTGGACTTTGTCCGAATGACCGGGAGTGCTGGACTTTATCCGGATGACCGGGAGTGTTGGTGACTTTGTCCGGATGACCGGGAGTGTTGGTGACTTTGTCCGGATGACCGGGAGTGCTGGACTTTGTCCGGATGACCGGGAGTGTTGGTGACTTTGTCCGGATGACCGGGAGTGCTGGTGACCGCGGCGTGGCGCGGCGCTGCTGGGCTCTGATAGAGTTAATTTTAACGCGAGCGACGAGAGAATCGCGAGACGAGAGGTACAGTAACAGTAGTGCGACTCCCGACAACTGATAACAGTGTACGTGTGTGAGTGATAATGCACCAATATGTCGTTGTACTCCAGGAACTATGTGAGTACCTTACGAGTATTTTTTCCACTGTATTGTTACTTTATTTACACAATATTGCAAGTAGTGCTACGTTTTCAATTATTTTTATACAGAATGTAGCTATATTTGTTGTGGCTACGTTTTGTTGATAACAATTTTTTTATTGTTGATTTTTTCCGAATTTCAAACATGAAAACACAAAGTAAACCTGTGGTCCTTACTACGTTAACTTCGTTGAGTAGAAGATGGAGTATACAAAAATTGATGTTATTTAGTAGAAAATGTTAACTATTTGCAGTAAGAGCGAGAAGATTAACCTCAAAGTTACTGTAATTAAGACGAGTCAGATTCTTTATCAAAATCATGATTAATTATTCATTATTAATAAGGCCTAATTATTCTTATTATTCATTTTACTGTATAAGGAAACCAAATAATATTCTTAAGAGTCCTATCAATTTAGCTATTGGTTATTGGGTCTGAAATAAAAGAAACCGAAAGTACCTTAAAATGTAATTATGGGTTAGGTAAAACTATATTTGGCACTTACAAATAGCTGTGTGTACTAGACATTCAAAGTTTGTTTACAAAAATATTCATTTACTTACATCGTAAATAGTATTGGAATGTAATTGTAAACACTGTAGAATCCCAAATTATGGATCACCAAGCAAACTACAGTTACTGCCAAATAATCTGTTTAGTGCCAGTTTCAAGTTAATGTTTCATTCACTTTCAAACTACAAAACAGTAACCCGATCCCGGACTTGCTTGTGGAGTAACGTTTCAGTCCGGTCCGTGTTCAAAAAACGACGCATTGGCAACATTTAATTATTTTTTATTGATTATAATACAAAAATCCTCTACTAAAAATATGATTGCCATATCGAGTTCCTTTTCTAGTTCTGTAAATTTATAGGGAATATTTTAGTAGAAATCAAGCCGGGTGAATGGAAATTCGCTTAGTATGCAGGTTTGCTGCGACGGGGGTATTTTAATTATAAAATATGTCTGGTTATGATATTGTTCAAACGATTAAACCAAATTAACCACAACCAAGCAAGGCTCGGTCCCCGGTACTTTAAATAAATTAAAAAAAAACATACTTTACATTTTATAGCATTTTCAAAAGATGTTTAGAATCGTATCATTAAACAACTGGTGATATAAAGAACGTTAATGAACGATATTTCCGACACTCACCAAACGTAGCACCCAGCGAGTCTATAATAACAATACAAGTCAAAAGCTAGTATAGGTATCATTTAATTTAAAAAATACCCCTCCCGCAGCAAAACAGCAGGCAAGGCGAATTTATATTTGCCTGATTTTATTTTTCCCTAAACTTTTCAGATTTTTCACTATTTAAAAAACGTTTAGTTTAACGAGCACTCAGGTTTGTTACTCCAGAGAAGGTAGTTAAGTAAACGATTTAGTAAAACTAGAGGTCGTGCAGTGGTTGAAATCTCGACCAAAAATATGCAATGTACAGAATTATCTATTTTCATCACATGCTATAAATAATACATGTGATTGGAATTTCTTCAATTTGTTTCAATTTCTTAAAAAAAAAAAAAAAAAAAATCGCTAAAACAAAAATGGGGAAATTAGAGAAATCCCGATATTGTTGTTGTTAACCACAATATCTCCAGTTATCTTTTTTCAAGTTTTTTTGTGGTTATTTTATTTTTTGGGGAGGGGTTTAATTATAAATATTTTCAGTAAAATAATCAACAACAATTTTCAAAACACAGATTTAAAATTTTAACTAAAACATTTTTGTTTTATAGAGTTTTTAACGCAAACAAAATAACACGACCAACATATTTAAGTTAATTTCTGGTAATTTAAGTTAGTTTCTGATATCTAGCTTTAAAGGAATCACAAAATAATACCCATGCCTATCGAAGTTTCAATAACTAATAAAGAGTTTTAACCTATATAGAAAAGTGGATCCTTGTATTCGTCTATTTTGTAAAATTGTCACAAAATGCCGCTCTTGCCGTAAACACTGGAAATGGCTTTTATACGTTTTATTTATTTTGTCACTAAATGGTAATCACCAAAACAGCGAATATGGCACATGTGTGCAAGATGGCTAATAATGTAAAATATGTCTCATATATATTTGGGTATTAGTCTGAGTGAGAGAAAGTCTAATGACGTTTTTGCCAGTTTGTGCAGGAGAAAATAATAGATCAGCTAGGATTTAGAATGTGAGGGAGAACGCATTTATTGGTACGCATTTTCCTGATACAATTTATCAATTTAGGGCCACTAAAACCCATATTATACTTAACATAAGAAATAGTTTGCGAATACAATCATAGCTCTAAACTCAAATCGTAGACCCGGAAAACACTTGTTGATATTTTTAGTACGGCGCTGAGTTTTGGCAGCGGTTCCGCCAAAGCCCGGAACTGTCCCACGCTCTATACATCAAACTGTCTTGGCAATGGCCACCAAGGATTGTGACGAAATAAAAAGGTTTCATCTGTAGTCAAAACACATTCGAGTGAAATTTAAAACTTTGTTTCAATGTAAAATTTAAAAGCCACTTAAGCTTATAGCCTTAGAATAAGACAGCTGATCAATTTGTCCAAGAAAATAAATACAAGTTAGGTTTATTTCCATTTGACAAGCCTATTAAATAAATTAAGGGTAGAAACTAGGTTGACAAAGTTAATAAAATCTTACTCATCTCCTATAGTCAATAATCAACGAACTGTCAGAATATAAGAATAAATAAACCTGTAACATTGTTCTACAGAATATTCTATTCTATTTAATTTTTACACCAGCTGTGTGGAATTGTAAGTACGTTTGACAGTTCTGCTTGTTTACATTGAAACATCATCGTGTTTAAACATTAAATAAAGGGGTTTCGTTTTAAATGAAAGGTCTTTACTCCTCTCTAAAACCTTTGGACAAATTGAGATGATGCTAACAGAGATCTTCCTAACGGAGAGATGTCGTAGTCGTTTATAGGCTTCAAATTTTCGAGGTGAGTATTTTTATAGATAAGATTTGTAGTCTACAAGAGAAAAAAATAAACTCTGTAATGGTGTTATAATTTGCTTTACTTGCATTTGGAAAAAGTCTGTTTAATATATTCTACTTAATTCTCGTTGAAGATGAATTACACCATTACACCAAACATAATTATCTGCAAGTAAGCGGTTCGATCGAGTGTTTATAATATAGGGTAGTTGAATTCTGAATTCCACCTTAGCTGTAACTAGCTGTTACCCACGGGCTTCAACCCGTTTGACTTCATCTATTATAAAAAAGAGGTGGTTGCTGTATGTGTGTATGTGTGTATGGGAAAAGTAAACTCGAAAAATACTGGTCGGATTGGGCTGAAATTTGGCATGATGATAGCTCACATTCCCGATTAACATATAGGCATATTCTTATTTCAAAAATCCTTTCGGGCTCCGCCCCAGTGGCTCTGGAGTTTCCTATGTTAACCTTATGAGAAATGGAATTATTGAATCTTAACAGCTGTTTCAATTAAACAAGTTGGTTCTGTTCTATGATGTTCAATAGCATTAAAGTTACAAGGAATACCAACAGGGTGCAGCACTATTATTTCTTTTACATTTATGACAACAGCTAATTTGCAACCAAAAGGTGAGTGAGCGTAGCGAACGAACTTCAACCTGGAGGCGAGTTAGCGTAGCGAACGAGCTAACCTAAAGGCAAGTGAGCGCAGCGAACGAGCTCCAACCTAAAGGTGAGTGAGCGTAGCGAACGAGCTCCAACCTAAAGGTGAGTGAGCGTAGCGAACAAACTTCAACCAGGACGTGATTGAGCCATGCGAACGAGATAATCTTGAAAATTAAGAAGTTAAACGGGGCAAAGCCCGCGGGTTACAGCTAGTAAGTGTTATAAAAAAACTATTGATTGGTTAAGTTAAGCTGAAATAAACATAACAGAATACAGCATTACAAACAAATAATCACAATAGATTTTAATAAGGTAATAAATTGAAAGAATAACATACAAATAAGAACAGCTGAGGTATTTTTAACATTAAGTATGTGGAAAGTTCCCTTTGGAAAATAATTATGACCTTAAAGGGCAATTTATGAAATAATGGATAATTTTGCGCAAGGTTTCTCGTCATGACGAACATTTTAAGTATATGGTTTATGGGGGTGTGACTTGTAGTTTTCTCAAAAGTTCATGGGTACTTTTGGCTTTATATATAGATAAGCACATTAAATGTGCTAAAACAATTTTTTTTAGAAGAAAGAATTAAATTAGAAAAAAAGAATTAAAAAGAAATAAATTTTTAGCGAATTTCCCATATAGGGAATAAGCTATTACCGTAGGTCTCATGGTAAGACCTAGACCCGGGACTGATTTACTTTTTCGTTTTGAGGTCCCCAGAGGCCAAGAACACCATCCGTTCAAATTCATATATATATATATTTATATATATATATATATTTATATATGTGTCCGTTAGCGCGATAACTCGAGCAAAATTGATCCGATTTTGATGAAATTTGGTACAAACGTGTAAACCTACATTTATTCGAACGAGTTCGCAAACCAGCATAATCGGACCATGGGATCAGGGGTTTATGGGGGGTTTTATGGGGTAAAAATGGGTTTTTCTCATTTTTGACCCTAAAAACTTTAAATTTCTAAATTTCTCTCTAGACCATTTTGAAGAGCTTAAAAAAACAAATAATTTAGTATATTGAAGTTTTTTTGAATGTTCATTGACTACGGAGAAAATTAAAGAAATTGTAAATTTAAAATTCCCATGTTATTCTTATGGAGAATAAATAAACTGTTCTAGTTTGCTTGTTTATGGATATATTTTAATCAAATTTGGCAATTTGGCTTATTTCATACTAAGCTATCAATATTTCAATTTAAAAAACACACCTCAACATCTTTCCCGTAGCAGCAAACCTAACTACTCACTAAAATTAATGTTATTTAAATAGGAAATAAATCTGAAAATTTATAGGGAATATTTTAGTAGAAATCGAGCCTGGTGAATG